CGATCGTTGTACGTCGGTTAATTCATTCCAATGGCTATTTGGATATTCTGAAGGGTAATGCCTTGAATAAGGTTTTTGAGAAATCGCAAGGGAAAGCATTATCTGCCATATTTGCTTCATAATAGAGATTGTTGCAATTAAAATTGTCTGCTGAACACCGTAAATCCTGGGAATTTACCATGATTGAGTTGAATGTCTTACAAAAAATTGCAAGGTAGGCATTTGTAGCACACTGTAGGTAACTACATACTTTCTTTGATAGCCAAGTATGAAACCCGCAGGTTCTCTTTGATCTTCATATGAACAAGGAAATCGCTCACAAGAATGTTATACTTGTCAAGACAATTTAAACTTTTGCTCAGTAGTAAGTGCATCTTTGTCAACTTATATATTCTGATTTTTTAAGTTTATTGTAGGGTAAGATTTGTAATCACTGAACCAAATTTAACCATTGAAATGACTTTTGTCATGTTATGATATAGTTGATTTTTTGTCAAACACCATAACACGTATATCAATACATCATCCTTTTTCAATGAGTGCACATATCCATCATTAATCATTAGCATTTAACACACTAATATTATCTAAAAAATAACACAACCTATGCATTGTACGGGTAGATGCTAGTCTTCTAAATAAGTCGTTTATTTTCAATCTTGATATAAAAATATGTATATTTTTTAAAATTTATTTAATTACTCTCATAATAAAATATTCAAGCTTTACCGAACTTCCAATTTGGGTAATCTTTTTCTTCTTTTCCAACAATCGTTTTGATAGACGAGGAAGGTGACTATAATAGTACAAAAGTTACTAAGAGGGGTGTCTTCAATTGAAATTTTTGAAAACTTCGATGAACTTTAGTGAAAGTCTTTCATAAATTTCTATAGTTTTTTATTATTTCATTATTTCAAATTATAATGAAAGGACTAGTAATTTTTTGAAAAATGTGTAGTTAAAAAGAAAAGAAAAGTTTTTAGGTTTACCTGTAATATTATTTTATTGAAAAATGTGTAGTTAATAAAAGAGAGAAAAATAAACTTTAATTTAATGAGGGCCAAACAGGGGTTTAAACTTTTATAGACTTTTGTAAGATTCAAAAGAAATTTGAAAACTTTCATTTAAAATAAAATTCACATGAATTTAGTATAATAATGTAAAACTTCCCCTTCCCTTCAAATAAAATAAAAAGTTATTTTTAAAAAATAAAATTAAAATCGAAATTAAATAAATAGTAATCAAAATTATATATATATATATATTTTTCACGAAAAACTAAATGAGAAAAGAAATAAAAAGTTATAAGAATTCAATTAAAATTTTTTTTCTTACAAAAAAAAAAAAAATACATAAACGATAAGAGAAAGATAAAGAGAGACAAATATAATTAATAGAAAAATTAAAATTTAATTATAACTCTAATGTTTATAGAAGGAAAAAAGGAAAGATAATTATTGAAAAAAATAAATATCAATTTTTTTTTTTTTTGTGAAAGTCTCACTAAATCTCACTACTAAAAAACAGAGTTTCAGGCACGAATTTTCCATTCCTAAAACCTCAATATCTGTTGCTAATAACCTTCACCAACGAAATATTTGCAACCACAAATCCGTTGGTAATTTAAGGGTCGCTGATAGTTACCAACGGATCATACCGTAGGTAAAGGATAAACATTTTACCAACGGATTTTCCGTTAGTAAAGTGCCAATCTTTTACTAACGGAATTTTCGTTCGTAAAAGTCTTAATCAATACCAACCGACTTTTATAATTGATAAAAATCAATGTTGTAAATAATCGTATGGTAAAAAAGTTATTTATTTATTTATTATAATATTTTTTTATTTTTAGCCAAGTGAATTGAAAGACCAAAATATTGTTTAACTTCTTATTGGACAACAAATTTATAGAGGGCAACTACAAAGATATTGTTGTAATCTTCCGATGTGGGATAAGTGAATTATTGTTATCAACAGATGATCCATTTCTCATTATCAACGGAATATCCGTTGCTAAAAGATCAAAATGTTAAACGATTATATTAGGTACGGAATATCCGTAGATAAAAGATTAAGATGTTAAACAGTTATATTAGGCACGGAATATCCGTTGGTAAAGAGATATCATCTTTACCAACGAAAAATCCGTTCTGATTATTGTAGCTAAAAGTGAATTACTTTTACCAATGGATAATCCGTTTTTAATTACCAACGGATGCAATCCATTGGTAATATTCGGTACATCGCCTATGGAATATCTGTTGGAGGAAGATCCAAATGTTAAACGATTACATTAGACACCGAATATCAGTTGATAAAGAGATATCATCTTTATCAATGAAAAATTTATTGCTAATTATTGTAGCTAAAAGTAAATTACTTTTACCAACGGATAATCCATTTTTAATGATTAACGGATTGCATCCATTGGTAATTTTTCATAGGCGAAAAGCTGTTTTTTAGTAGTGTCTTGTGATTAATGAGAAACAAATTTTGAGATTTTATATGAGTATTTTTTGCTTAAAAACTAGTAAATTTGAAAGATTAAACATTAAAAAGTTTTAATTGAATACACCATGACTTTTAGAGGCTTTTTAAAATTTATAAAAATCTCAATTGAATACATCAATACTTTTAGAGTGTATCAAAAAATTTACATTAAATATCCCTAAACTTTTAAATACTAAAAAATTATTAAAATCTCAATTGAATACATTTCCTACAAAAGTGATCGACAAACTTGACTTTTGAGATCCCTATTTTTAATAATCAAACTATATTTTAATATGCTACTAAAATTTGTCCTTATTACTAATAAGTAATTGCTAAAGTTTCTCCGTGTTGAGGCAATAATTGTGCATTAAAGAAATACTAAGTACATTAAGACAATCATCAATTAATATAGTAACTAAAAATCATTAAACCAAAAAAATAATAATAAAAATAATTATTATATACATACAAAATTCTATATCTATACCTCAGTCCTCATTTTTCTCATTGCGATGTCTGAACTGCCTTGAGACCTCTCTCTCTGTATTAAAGTACAGTTTATCTGTATATATAAATATAAACATCGTCAAATTTCAATCCAGGAAAAAGTTAAGAGGAATACAGAAAAATCAAGAGATATGTCTTCACCAAGTAAACGCAGAGAAATGGATTTGATGAAGCTGTAAATGAAATTTTAATCTGTTAATTTTGTAGATAAATGTAATCATTTTAGCTGGGTTTTCTATATTTATTTTTTGATAATTTTTACTTTTTGGATTGGTTTGTACTAGGATGATGAGCGATTATAAAGTGGAGATGATCAATGATGGGATGCAAGAGTTCTATGTGGAATTTCATGGACCCAAAGATAGTAATAATTTCTAATAAAACCCATCTTTTTCCCTCATTTTTGATCTATATGAAGTCTTACGCAAATATCTATGTTGTGTTTGGTTTAATTTTTTCTGGGTTTTCTTTTTTCTATTTTGTTATTGTAAAGATTATTTGGTTTAGCCGTTTGAGCTGTGTTTGACTTGCGTAGTTTTGTGATCGAGCTGACAATATCGTATAGTAATAACAATCTATTGGTGAAGTACTAGCTTTTGCACTCATGTTTAATCTCGAATTGGAGTATCTTGGAACTTGGATTGCAGACTGTTCTTGAGTTAAATCTTGAATTTCATTAAATTCTGTGAAAGGTTTTGTACATTCTGATTGTTTGAATTTATTTTGAGCGAGTTGATAGAAAGTCTTTTCTGAAAGGGTCTTAGATGGTTGATCCTGTGTTAGGCTTGAGTTGGCAGGATAGCTGTTCACTAATTTGTCTCAGGCTCTCAATGAGTAACGAAGTCCTTTCATTGATGGCATAGTTGGTTGTTTGAGCATTTGATGAAAAGGATATTTTTTTCCAATTTGATTGCATTTGTAGGCCCATATCAAGGTGGAGTGTGGAGGATAAGGGTGGAACTTCCAGATGCTTATCCATATAGATCTCCTTCCGTCGGTTTTGTCAACAAGATATACCATCCAAATGTTGATGAAATGTGAGTTCCCAGACTGTCAGTCTACCCCAGCGTTTAGCTTGTTTAAATGACGGTATTCACTTGTTCTTAATTTCGATGGTTGTTGGACGAAAGTTTTTCAAGTGCTACATTTTCATGTTTTGTGAACAGGTCAGGCTCAGTCTGTTTAGATGTCATCAATCAGACTTGGAGCCCTATGTTTGGTAAGTTGATTTTCTTAGCATTTTGTCAGATGAATGGAATTGGTGATTCAACCCAAATCACTGACATTAATTCTCGTGTATTTAGATTAAATGATAGATTCTTCAGCTTGATTGAGGTATTTATTCGTTTTCAGATCTGGTAAACGTGTTTGAAGTCTTTCTTCCGCAACTTCTTCTATACCCAAATCCATCTGATCCTCTGAATGGAGAGGCAGCAGCTCTAATGATGCGGGATCGCAACGGTTATGACCAAAGAGTTAAAGGTAGAAACTTTTAAGTATTTTAGCACCTTGTAAACGTTTCTTTTAAAATATCTGGTCTATATTATGAAAATATTCTCTTTACCTATTTGTATTATTGATGCTAATGATAAAAATAGAAGTGAAATATTATCGCACATAACTACCAGTTAATTGCACTTTCGCTTGAGTCTGTCACAATTTTTGGGCCATTGAGACTTCCAACTCTGGATTGACAGAATCTGAATAGTAGTGTATGCCACTTAATTATTTCAGTTAATTAGCGCATTATGTTTTTTATTTTGGGTTATGTTAGGTAGAATCATTAAGCTGCCTGTATTGAGCTATTTTTTACCACTAAAGTTTGCGTTGAAGCATCATCTGTTACTATTCCATACTCAAATATGTAAAGGAACAATTTTGAATCATTCAACAATGTCTAACTTAAACTTACCTGCTTACTCTATCCTAAAGTTTCTTCTTTATAAAAATTGTCGTTACTTGGACTTGGTGGTTGTCCCTAACTGGTCCACCACACATTCTTTCTACCGAAACTTGTTTTCATTCGTTAATGGCCCACCATCCACGGCGCCAGATATACCTCGTGTATGTTTGTAGTTATTTCGGAACAAAATAGGGGATCTGCTATTAGTACATCGGATTATTATCTGAGCTTTGGTAGACACCTTTTTGTTTGTTTCGATGGGAACCGTATATCGTTATATGCTGGATCAATACCTTATCTCAGCACAACATTTTGAATGCTTTGTGTTGTTCATGCAATACTAGGCATTTATTGCAATATATAATCATGCCAACAATCACTCAGTGTGATTGAATCAATAAGCACATTAAGATTGAACTTACAGTTTATTTGAAAATTAATTTGAAAGTATCCGACCCGATTGTGTTTAGGATCTCTTAGACAATTTTGTTGTCATGGCGCCGAAGGTCTTCGAGCAATTGCCCCTTGGTATAGAACGAGTTCGTTCCATACGGAACTGGTGAACACAACTAGGGGTGGGCGCCAGTTGGTTCGGTTCGGTTCTAAAGAGAATCGAACTGAACCAAAATTTTCTGGTATTTAGTAAATGGAACCATCGGGTCCAAATATAATTATGGAACCGTTTGGGTTCGGTTCCGTTCCGTTCGGTTTTGTACTATAATTAAATTTTTTAACATTTATAACAACATTACATAAATATAATTAATGACATATTCAATGGTTTTGAAATGTCAGAGACTAGTAAACTACCTTATTCAAATGATCGCTACGGTCAAAATTTCGATTGGCAGAGATCACAGTTTCGATCGGAGGTCACAGCGTCGGTCGACGATTGTATAGATTTTGAAATGTCAGCGAGGCTGCGAGAGTTGAGACAGCGTTATGCACTTTAGTGTAGGTGTTTAGAGTTATTTAGTGGGTTGGATCTTGTTGGAATAAGAAATGAGACAATAAAATGGGTAATTGGGCCAAAAATTTGGATTTAGAAATTGTCAATTTGTTTATAAAAAATTAAAATTAAAATAATTTGATTTATTCAATATAAAAAAATTAGAAAGATTCGGTTCTTATTTGATTTTCGGTTCTTGGTCTAGAACCGAGAACCGAACCATACCTGTCGGTTCTCAATTCAGATACCCATTCGGGTATTTAATTTGACAAGAACCGTCGGGTTCGGTTCGATTCGAGAGATTTGCCCAACCCTAAACACAACTTCTAATTTGTGACCCAAACTTTGAACCGGAAGTAAGAAATATAGAACTTTAGGAGAGAAATTTGAGAATTAAAAAGAGTAAACGATCTCAAAATTAGATAATTTTTTAAAGAGAAAAGCCCCATTTATAGCCTTTGGAAAGGTCATGGATTTCCAAAGGGTTGCAACTTTTAAATGAAGGTGTGTGACTTGTTAGAAGAAAAGACATGGGAGATGAAAGGGTGCAACATTTCAAACGAATGGACAAAACTTCTTGGCCATAGTGTCTTTTGAACCAAAAGACAATATTGTCAGACTTGTAAACTAATAGACACAACTCTACACACAAATTTCATTCTTCTTTCTTTCTAGAATGAAGGCAATTTCATCGTTCAGTCTCTCATTTTTCCGACGCTCTGTACAGTATCTGCAATCACATTTAGAATGAAGAAAATATGTAGACTCACCTGTGGCATTGAGATTTTTCATTTTGTGCAACCTTCAGTGAAAATGGTGTAGGAAATCAATTTGAGAGTCGCAACGCAATACATGGATTGACTCAGGTTTGTAACTAATGGCAAGAAAGTCTGGCAACTGATTTATGACTTCTCAATTCTGGTTCAATTTAATTATGATATAGTATTTTTGAAGGTGAATGGTTCCTGTCTAGAATTCCAATATCTGAGAATCTGACATATGTCCAGGATATATACGTCAAAGTTTACTTGCATAAACTGGCTTATCGTGTCTAAGAATACCTAGAATTTAATAACTCCAAAGTTAGGAATAATATGTCTATGACTATCTCCATTATTCAGTCCTTATTGAAAGGAAAAGCCCCAATAAGTCAAGAGTACTTGGATGGTGGTTTCTGTAGTTAATGGATCAACATTCTTTATAAAATATAAGAACATATTGAGCAGCAACTTTGATATGTATCAACTAAGACCTTAGTTAGAGTACTTCGTCCTTATGTTTTCTTTTGCTTGCTCCATAATTCTCAATATAATAAAAAAAAGAAAGAGGAGAGGAATTGAAAATAATATTTCTTATCATGTCAGGAGCTTCAATGTCATTTAATATATGAAGGAACGGGAGGCAAAAAGAGGAATTGATGATAGGCTAACTGTAAACTCATTAACCTTTGCTTACTCAAAAGTGAGTACCATAAGTAGGAATGGGTTGGAACTCAAAATTTAATAGAGAGACTAAATTTGATACGATTCATGTTAGGATATTTGAAATGAGAAGAAATTTTTTATACTTTTTTTGGCAAGTGCAGTTTGTTATTAATTTACGAGGACAATTATGATGAAGATCTGAAATTGTTGTTTTTTGGGATTTGGTCAAATTAACAAGTTCTACAGCTTGTCATATTTGTTATTATGTATTAGTATGAGTTTTGTTTACCATATAGAGTTTACTATGTAAAGAGATGATATGGTCATCTAAGAGAAAAATATAATTACTAGCTGTCTAATTGGGAACTATTGATTCTCAGAAGAGTCTATACTTGTCCACTCTACTACTTTCAGGACACTAGCCCAACTTCACTTTGTAGGTATTGAAAACTAAAGAGCCTCGACAATTGCATGTTAGCTGACCTGTTACACTCTGACTGTCATCTTAGGGGTCTTTTGTTGTGAGGTTTGAGAACATATAATGGAAAATTCTTCAACAGTATTGACAGAGTTATAGTACCTTGCTACCTTATTGAATAGGAATTTATTATTACTCGTGTGTTGAAATGATTTAGACAAACGCTATTTATAGATTAATCATAGCTAACATGGATGGAGTTGTTCCTGCTTTTTGTAGAGCACTATCTCCTTCAGTGGAACACGTTTTAGCATGTGGTTGAAGGTGGAGCTCTTATATGCAAACATCTTCAGTTCTTGACTTTGCTATAGTTTCCTTCTTTGGTAATCACTATCCTGCTTTCTGAGCTGATTAGTGGGTTGATGTCGAACTGGTGTTCAATTAGTGATGGGACTTGATCATCGAATCTTTTGAGGAACGCCAAGTGTTTAGTAACATGTCTGAGTCCCAAGTTGAGTTTTAGGAATGATTATACTTGGTCATGATTGAAAGAATTATGTTTTTTCTGCACGCCCTATTTGTGCTAGGTGTTCAGCCTCATCAGGGTGTCATGTTTGGTTAGGTTGGACACTGGCCAATCTGTTAATCCAAATGGCCGTCTTAGGTTGCTCAGCAGTCCTCTATTTAAGAATGATTCCTCGTTTGACTAGTCTCCATGTCTGCCGTCTCTTCTGACTCATCATCCCTTCTTTTGCCTGTTTTGAAAACACAAAAATAAAGTAAAAATTTGGACACGTGTTGAGACACTTCTTGAACAATATCGGACACTTGACCATATAGTTTAGCATGAAGGTAGAGACAATAAAGAATTTTTTCCCACTTGAATTGAACTTATGTGGTTATGCTCTCTTCGAGTCGGAGTTCATTTTCTAAAAGGTTCGGACTTTTGTACTTTGTTGGGTCCCTTCTTTGACTTAGGTTATGTTAAAAGGATATCTATCTATTGAATTAGGTTATGTTAAAAGGATATCTATCAAATTCCAATCGATATTAGAAGTACATTTACTTTGTAATATAGATAAAAATGGAATCAGGAAATTGGCGTCATTGGTTGAAAAGGGAGTACCTTGGTTCTGTACTTAAGCACTCAAACGGTGAAAGAATTGTCATATGACAGGCTTGTCAGCTTGACCTAGAGTCTTGTGGATGAAAAAATAGCGAGGAAGTTCTCACCATTGAGAACAAGAAGCTCAAGGCAAGCATTCGTCTTCATATGCGAGGAAGACTGATGTGGCCAAAGATTGTGCATATGTTTTCATTTGTAGGGATCGTTCAATCGAATACAGTAGTCATGCTATAATTTAATGAGCTTTTAGAGTATGAGAGGTTATACCTTCCAAACCCATGGAAAAATTACTGTATTATACTCGAAATAGCTACCAAGATCCTTTGAAGTTGATTCAGTTTATCGTTAACTTTCTCTATATGCTTTTATTAGCGTTGTCATCTTGTTATTGTCTCAGAATATTGCGAAAAATATGCCAAGGCTGAAGATGCTGGAGCTGCACCTGAAGAGAAATCCAGCGAGGAGGAGCTGACTGAAGATGAGTATGCGTCCAGTGATGAAGAAGTTGCCGGGAAAGTCGACCCCTAGGGTCTGAATTTGCAGTTCGATTGGCTCTTATCTGTACATGATATGTTCCCTATGTTAGTAAACCTTAACTACAAAGGATGGTTCCTTTGCTTCGAAAAATATACGACTCTTCTTTCTTTTATAATGTACTCAGTGTTCCTTGGCACTTTATTGGGTTGGGTAGAACATGTTAACATCCTGTGATGCTATAATTTTCAGCAAATAATGGGTTATTAGTCAATGTCACTCTCGACCTCGATCCCCAACTGTACCTACATCTAATTACTGATTCTGTCTCATTTATATAGGTTGATTATTTAATGTTATTGGAAAAGCAATTTTACCAAAAATACTTTATTAGCCTACCCTTTTTATATTTGTACAATTTCAACATTATGTTATACTTATAACTAAGCAAATTAAATAAGGGAATACTAGTAAATGAACAAAATAAAAAATTCTCAATAAAGAAATATGATTATATAATTGGCACAAGAAAATAAGGAAACTCAGCTTCTGTAAATGTGATAGAGAGAGAAAGTAATAGATAGATTAGTACTAAGCATAAATGAAGTTGAATAATATTGTTCAAATGAAAAAATTTATATGTACATAATTATTGTACATAATGTTGTCCATAATGTGATGTGATAATCATTCGGTTGTTGATGTAAAAGTATGAGATTTGAATTAAAAATTGGATCCAGTGTTACATATAATTATGGACACCGTTATGTAGACGATGTATCACTTTCCGTGTTCAAATAGTAATTTGTAATTGGCAAGTAATTTTGGCACAACAAATTGAATAGGTAAAAGGTAGGTAACCCCTATAGTTAGGCAAAATAAACCAGGTGGACAGCGTTGCCAAGGTTTTCACATAATACTTGCACATTTTATGGGCTAGAAAAAACTAAAAAGTCATAAGAGTTAGGTCCTAGTGC